TCTTAATTTTTCTGACTGATTCCAGTATGTTGTATGAGCGCTGTTTGCTGGGCTTCAGTATCCTGTCCCCATGGTCGCTTGGCCTGTATTAAACTGCATTAAAACTAGATATTTATAACTCTTTTTTTGTTGATACAAATGTGTGTAGGCGAGGATGTTGAGTTTGCTGCATTCTTTTCAGGAATTCTCTCTGCCATGTTGCTGCTAACCGATGCCTAGCTTAACTGCTAAACTGTTTTTTTTTGTCTTTGGTAATTTTTTAGGAGCATGAAGTCAACAAACAAGATACATGTTAATGAGTAAGCTTAAGAGGTGCTAGTATTCATATTCTGATTCCTTTAACCAAGCTAGCGGCCTCCCTGTGTTTTCAGTCTTTACAGAGATAAACTAAGATATACTGTAACTATTCCTTTAAGTCGGACCTTTAAAGTTGTTACACAATTCAGAATTAACTTCAACATGAGTCCCCCCTTTTCACATAGCTACTGGGAACAGAATGTTATAAAAGCAAGCAGTATTTTCCAGTCTCTGAGGGGACACGAGTGGTCGGAGAGTTCAGGTTGAGGGTAAGGTCCAGCTCAGTCTGTGGAACGCTACATGGCCGCTGGTTCCTGAATATCACGCACACATGATGTACTTTACCCTTTTTTATTTCAGCCAGTTTCCAAATGTTCTGGTCTGTGCACCCACCAGGCCGTGAAGTGAGGAGCTAGAGGTCGTGAGAGGTCAGTGAAGAAACCGAAAAAGCAGCCAAGCACACCTTGAGCCAACATCAGTAACTTACATTGTGTTCCTGAAGATAATGTTTTCAAATGATCCAGAGAACAGGTTGACGCTGGCCTGATCCAGACTCAGAGATTGATCATAAACAGGCCAATTAATTCATGAAAACCATTTTATTCAGTATATTGGAGATAAGAAATTAGAAAACAAAATATTTCTAACTCGAGATCTATAGGCTTCTGTTTTTTTTTGCATGGATGTTGATATTTGTTAAGGCTTTTATCCAAACACCATTTCAGTATTTTCATGTTTTCCTGTCTGGGCATGGCAGAAACAATTATTATTGAGGCCAGCAGGTGTGAAATAGATAAATGTAAAGCGTTACATCTTAAGCAGTAATAGAGGTCATTATTGAGCTTGGAAACTTTAAGTCTCAACCTTTGACTAATATGAACCAAAAATCCACAAATGTGACATTTAAGGACCTTGGGATTACACTAGTGTTTAATTTACAATCTCAAAGATCTCCATGTTGATCTCTTTGGGTTCCGGTTAGGGTAAGGGATGGATTTCATCAGTTAGCCATAGGCTCAATTACCATTGTGTACTTAAAAATCCTTAATGTTACACATTCTGCGTCCGTGGAGAGCTGCGGTCGCATAGATGTGGACGCAGTTGAGGGCCTGCGTTGTGCTGGCACTTCACTTATGCCCACTTCCAGATACAAACCCTTTTCCAGTCAATGATCTTATTGTTATGTTGTTTGAGAGGGAATCAACACCATTTGTCTGTCTTTGTATTCAACTGGTGCCCTGTTTTGTGGGGTCCAAACCACAACGTTGTGGGCGAGGACAGACATCCATCTGTGTCATTTTGAGGGTCTTTTTGTTACAGGATCCAGGAAATTAGGCACTCACGGTAGAAATTTGCTGTTGAAAATGTAAACATGGGCTTTTTCTGTTTGGGTGCCGTGAATCGTTTTGATTCACGGCACCCAAACAGAAAGAGCTCAGGGACAGGCATTAAGTAAAACAGATGGAATTAGCCAATCTTCTCTTCGATCGACTTGTTTGCTTTCATGTAGGTCATATGAAGGGCATCAGTGTTATTGAGACAACCTTGAGACTCTTTGTGGTAACTTTAAAGTAATTGCCGTGTTGGTCTCTGCCTGACTCATCTGCTCAGGTCTGTCTCTACGGACAGGTGTAGTAACAGGAAACAGTTCCAGTCCCGGATGGTCCCTGTCCCCCCAGTTACTCAACGCATGTGTCACAGATCTGCGTGTTCCTCGTAGCGCTTCAGTGCTCAGGTCTCTTTCACAACAGATGTGACGGTCTGTCTCCTGGATAAACACTTTTTTGCTGCTTGTTATTATTTGTTGTTAATGGTTGACACATATTAAATGGAAACATGTGAAAGTGCCAAGAAATTGTACGCCAAAGTGTTGCTGCCCAGAGGTGACAAGGTGTGTGTGTGTGTGTGTGTGTGTGTGTGTGTGCGTGCGTGCGTGCGTGCGTGCGTGCGTGCGTGCGTGCGTGCGTGCGTGCGTGTGTGTGTGTGTGTTGACACTCCTGTCAGGAAATCAAATTTTTGCTTCACATAAATTTCACATAAGGTCTTTCATCTACTTTTCCCAATACATCTTCAGTTTGAAACCAATATCCAACTTTTACTTTATCCATCCGTTCCACTGTGGTTGTGGGAAAAAGGTTTAGTGTCAGACATCAACTTGCCCCCTTTGTTGTCGTATTAGGACAAATCAATCTATCAGATTTAAAAACGAACACATGAGTCATTAACTTGTCACCTTAAGATGACGGAGCTTCAGACAGAATGTCATTTATCTGTTTCCACTGGGTTATTACTGTGGCACTTTACACAACGGAGCGAAGTGCAGCTTAGGTGTGTAACTCAGGGAAACTTTACACAAGAATAGTAGCTGGAGATAAGAGTGTAATCTGTTTAATGACACCAACCACACCAAAAACTGAAGCGGATCTTTAGATTGAAGAAAAACTGTTTGAAGATGTATTTCGGGAAAACAAAAAAGTACCTTAAATAAGACTTCATTGTAATAATATCATTAACTTTCTTACAGGGAATGGTCTCCTGGACAGAGCAATGGGGTGTTAATTGAACTTCTATCTCTTCCTCAATTTTGTATTTAGAAAATGTTTATGACATTTTTATATTCAGATAACCATAAGCATTTTCTGCCTCACAACACATTAGCTCTGTTGCTAATAGGTTTAGGGAATCCTGTGTATTACTAATGATCAACCACATTGATACTATACTGAAAGATTACACGTCTAACCAATAATTGGCTAAGTATCTTGTTGTAAACCATCATGCAGAGGAGGTCAGTGCCTCCTGGTCGTTTTTTGTTTACAGCAAGGTTTTGTTTGCATCAAGTGAAAATTGTCTTTCTCTTCAATGGATAGGGAAATTAAGAAACTACACAATTTGCTTTTGGAAAATGTGGTAATTTGTAACCTGACTGACACACAAGCCATTTTGTTGATCTCAGTAGGTCGTCAGAATCTTCATATTATTACCTTAATATAATATGAGATTTCCATTATAGAGACATTATAAACTACATTTTGAAGCATATGTTAAGCGTTCAGAAAACACAGTATAATCTAAAGGGATTTGAAGTCTCATCTCACATGCCATATAAGCATTTTAATGAGGGTGAAAGTCAATCTGAAGGGTGTTTAAGCAGTATCTTCCTCAGGACACCTGTAAAGTTGTTGCAACTTTAGCATGCTATTTCCCCCTAGTTTAAAGGAACTGTAAACAACTATCTTTTTAATGGTGATTTGTATTTATGTATCTGTATCACTTCTGATAAAAACACACTGTTCTACACAAGGATAGACGCCCAGATCATAAAAAGGTGAAACATACCAACACTTCACGTTGTACAAAATACTATTTTGTTTTCATTCATTATACAGTTTGTTTAATATAGATATATGTTTTTTCTTCGTCTGTGAACAACGATGTCTGTCCAGAGTTAACTTCAGTTAAACAGGGGTCATTTTTCATTTTGATATTTTCCAGTAAAAATGTCAATTAATAGCCAATTGTGAAGTCTAAACATCATTCAAATAACAATCTCAAATATTAAAAATAAATCAATAATATTAAACTTTATTCACGCATTTGATCCCACTTTCAGGACTTCTTCTGCCAATATTTCCAGATGACTTTATACCGACAATTTTTAACAATAAAACATAATTTAATATCTGCAACAAAATAAGATAAATAAAGTTGAAAAGCACATGTGAATGAAATTGCACTTTAAAGTCAGACTGGACACCAGCATTGGCTACACCTGCTCTGTGAGTTCACCCTCAGTCCGTCTTTGTTTCAGAGGTAGCCTAACCTACAACTAAAGGAAGATAAACAACAGCTTTATTATTGTTTTATTTAAAGAACTTTCACGAGGAAACAAAGGTGAAAAGGTCCCTAATAACATCACTCTGCTCTTATTAATGATTAAGTGTTTGTTTAACTCCTGAGTGAATTGAAGTGTTATTGCTATTTTTCTAAATTTGCAAAGTGAGATAAACCTCAATCGTTTCATTTAGCAATTTAAGGGACCAACATAGTTTATATGGTCGTGTCATTGTGCGCAGATAAGAGACAATTGAGGCAATTAAAATGTTTAAAAGGGACTTCTGTCCCACGTTTTCAAAGTTTAAAACTTAAGAGTTTGCCTACATGTTTTAAGTTGAAAACGAATAAAATATTGTATTATTATTGTAATTTCGAAAATAGAGATCAATGGATTCTGATATTATTGATACAAATGAATGGCTGCTTTTTCAGGGAAACTTTAACGTGCAACTAGTTTACTTTTTAGAATTTAAAAGCATTGGCATTTCTTTATCACCCTCTGATTCCCCTAAAACTAATGAGATTATAAACAAACATCTGAATTAATGAGGACAGCAACAGTTTATTAACATGTATCCTACTGAGGACACTTACAGTATATTCCGAACTAATTATATAAAATAAGGAAGGAAATATAAATAGTAGGCTATTGCTTGTACTGCTCACAGAGCTATTTCAAGGCATTATTTAAAAAAAAAACTAACTTCATCAGCGGTGTGAATATGTGCAGCTCGCCTTCTTAAAAGTCTCTATGCCGTATACAACAGGGTCCAAAGTCCATGAAAGTTTTGCTGATAAGGGCAGCCAATAAAAGCAGCAGTGCAGCAGTGTAAACACATGTCTACCTCGGCCCAGAGCGGGCCTTATTCACTGGATTTACATAAGGCTCCCATCAGCCGGCCCACTCATTACCACGTTTTATATCCCCCTGCATGCACTCAAGCATCATGACAAAGTAGCTCCATCCTCCCCTCCAACAGGGAAGTGAAGCAGCTTCTCGGAGCAGGTGTCAGGAGCCGCAAACTCACACAACACTGGAGCAGAGAGGAACTTTATTTTGTAGCTTTATTTTTTTGTAATATCCCACTTTAGCCTCCCCTTTTCCCTCTGCTGCAGCGCGCTCACAGCAGGCCTATGTTGTGTTTTTAATGTTTTCTAAAATGGTATCCAAGCTGACATCCCTGCAGCACGAGCTCCTCAGCGCCCTGCTGGACTCGGGAGTAACCAGAGATGTTCTGATCCAGGCCCTGGATGATATGGACCCCAGCCCGCCGGGCTTCGGAGTAAAACTGGAGAACTTGCCCATTTCCCCAGCTCCTCCGCAGAGCGGCAAGATGAACGGGACGGACTCCGACTCCAAGCCCGTCTTCCACACGCTCACCAACGGACACAGCAAGGGCAAGCTGTCCGGGGACGAGGGCTCCGACGACGGGGACGACTTCGACACACCGCCGATCCTGAAGGAGCTCCAGTCGCTCAACACAGAGGAGGCAGCGGAGCAGAGGGCCGAGTTGGATCGCATGTTGGCGTAAGTTTTCCTACTTTATATAACTTTAAAACTTTTTTTTAAATAGTTAAAATTAAGTTAAATCGCACTTTGAAGGGTGTCATGAGGAAGTGAAAATATGCGCATATTCAGGGTTATTCTGTTTATTTTATAACACACTCAAAATGCTCTTTCTGTTAAGTTTGTTAATGTTAGGAAAGAAGGCCTGTTTGAATAGCCTACATGTAGGCCTATTATAGGCAATAGCAAATGCATTTCCCTTCTGTGTTTACATTTTTAAAATAACCCGCCGTGGTTCTGTTTTCCATTCTGGTTACTAATTACCCACACGGATTATTATTTCTTTACCTTTGCAAAATATCAGCTGAACTGCGATCTATTTATTATTAACTATACTCCACCTCTCAACGATAAAAAGAAATCCGGCAATGGTCGACAGACACGAAGAGAAAGTGAATGCACGTCTGTCTGACATTTAGAATAACACATAGGCCTAGGCCCATTATAAATAATTATTATCATTATTATATAAATAACATAACATGCAAAACTTCTTAATCATACTTATAATAATAGGCCTAATACTAATTACAATATTAATACGACTTATGAATAGCATAATAATAATAATAATACAAATTATGAATAACATTATAATATTAACAATAATACAATAATATTTATTATATCTTTTATGTTTTCCCTATTATGCCAGTAAACAAAAACATCCCAAACAAATCGTAATCCATTTATTCTAATCCGACCTTTTAGATTTACTGTAAAACTAATATTTAAAGCTCTAACACGACCGGAAGAATATCAAAACTAACCCACGTGTAGTTATTATTAATTTTATTCTATAAATCATCAACTGAAAGATACACAGTGGCGTGTGATTAGAGTGAATGGAGATCTGGTTATTCATTGTCAAAAGTTATAAACTAACATCTCCCACTTAACCCGCAGACTTATGTAGGCCTCCACATTCTCCAAAACAAACAGGCGTGTGTAGATTTGCTATAATTACCGATGTCAGTGTCTGGGCCTGCTAATCTCGTATTGTAGGTCATGGCTCCGTTTTACCTCCGAATTGTTTTTGATAGACCTAAATACTGCTGCAGAAATGAGACGTCTTATGAGTAGGCTTTTGTCAATCGCTGTTTCTACAGGTAAGAACACGATTTGATGCTAAATTCATTTTTGGAATCAAAGATTGTATTAATTCACATGCACTAAAAAACGAAATAATGTATTGAGTTTAACTGAACGTCGCTTTTTTATAAGATTAAAATATTAAAATATATCTAATTTTACACGTTCGACTATATCTTCAAGTTACCCTGACTCCAATGTATTTTTGATTAACAATTACAAACATTTGATCATAGAATGAAGTGAGTAAACATTATAATACAAATATTAACTAAAATGTATGACTTAGCCTAATATTGTTTTCAAGTTTTTCCAATACAGACATTTTACAAGTATATTTATAACTGAGTATATCAGAATTTCTTGTCAACCTAAGTTTGATTCATTTTTTAGCTGTTGTTTTTTTAGATTTGTACAGTTCATGCTTGCTTTAAATTCACACAAACTTGATCTAGTTTTTTTCCAGGCTTACATTATGTGTTTAGGCGACAAATACTAAGTCCAAGTTTCTCAACCTGCCTGAATCCACTTGAACTAACCTTTGAAAATATGTACAGCCTATTGAACGGGCTACAGTGATAAACGGTTGTCAGTGAGAGGACTTGTTACCCTTTAAACTTGAAGCCTTGAAAAACATTTAGGTGAAGGAACATGTGTTTAATACTTCCACATTTGTAGATTTTGTAAAAGATATACATTTAATGCCAACAACCTTTACCATAACATTTTCTTTCCCCTTACATGAAGCATTTCGCCATGTATTTATATTAATTTAAGACCAGAACTTTATGACAGCCAAATAAATGTGAAATGTGAAGCTGGTTTTGCCCTCTAAAGACAGCAGTATCGTTCAGTGGTGAAATGTGTTTTCTGCTCCTGTTTTATCTGAACGCAGAGAGGATCCATGGCGTGCTGCCCGCATGATCAAAGGTTACATGCAGCAGCACAACATCCCCCAACGGGAGGTTGTGGACGTCACAGGGCTCAACCAGTCTCACCTCTCCCAGCACCTCAACAAAGGCACGCCCATGAAAACAACGAAGCGAGCGGCCCTGTACACCTGGTATGTCAGGAAACAGCGGGAAATTCTCCAACGTAAGTTAATATTTGTGTTTCTCACAGATTGGCCCCGTCCTGTAATGTGTAGTTAGCAACAGCACAGTGCTTTTTTGGGGTTTCAATATCATGGTGGGTTCGACATGTCCTCACCATGTTGGATGACATATATTCCCCTACAGCAATTTTAGTCATAATTCATCATAGCAAGTAATATATTGTTTCATTGATAGAAAAGACTTCTATCATATGGGTAAACGTTTTACAGATATGCATTTTGGTGTTGTGATTTTGCATTGAAAGAAAGCATTTTGAAATGAGTTTTATTGAATGTACATCTTTTTGTTTTGCAGAGTTCAACCAGGCAGTGCACAGCTCTGGCTGCAACATGACAGATAAAGACAATCAGGATCCGATGTTTTTTTTCCCAGAGTACAACCCGTCTGGTCAGGGCATGGGTCAGACTGGTGAAGAGGTCGGAAGCGAACCCTCCTGTAAGAAAATGAGACGTAATCGTTTCAAGTGGGGGCCTGCGTCCCAGCAAATCCTGTACCAGGCCTACGAACGGCAGAAGAACCCCAGCAAGGAGGAGCGGGAAGCTTTAGTAGAAGAGTGCAACAGGTACATTTAAAACAACAACTTCCTATACCTTCCTTGAAATATTTGACCAAAACAACATTAACCCTAATTTTTTATTTTCCTTATTTATTTGATATCTGCAGAGCCGAGTGTCTTCAGAGAGGCGTCTCCCCCTCCAAAGCTCAGGGCCTCGGCTCAAATCTGGTCACTGAAGTGCGAGTCTATAACTGGTTCGCCAACCGGCGTAAAGAGGAAGCCTTCAGGCAGAAGTTGGCCATGGACTCCATCACCGTACCGTCCCACAGCATGAACTCTCTGCTGTCACACAGCTCGCCACATCATCCCCACATCAGCGCTTCACCTCCCAGTAAGATGACAGTTGACTTTACTTTGCATGCAGTTCAGCATCACAGAAAGCAGACAAGATGTGTCGTGATAACTGATTTGTCTTTTTACTCCATCCTTTTAGCATTGCACATCTTTAACATTGTCAGACAGTTTAAAATAAATGGTCACAAAATTGATACAGCATAAATGGAGATATTGTCTTACTTATTCAACAATATCTTGGTCTTGTTAAAACCTGGTACACAATACTTTCCAAGACTTGTTAACATACTTTGAGGTCAGTGGGGTTCTCCCTTAACTGTCATGTCTGCAGATTCATCATCTGCACTCGTCATTCATTCACAAAAATACCATATGTCTAGAGACCGAGTACGCATTAAGAACGTTTCATTTACAGTACTTATGCCTACATTTTAGATAATAGTGCAAATAAATACATGATTTAGTGTCTTTGGTGTGAAAACGCTGTCAGAAATGGTCAGAAGCACAGTTGATGTGATCAGAGGGGCAGAGAAAGAGGGGAGAAGTGATCAATGAGTGTGAGTGAGTGAGCTGAGCAAATGCCATTGTTATTCTGATCTTTGAAAACACACTGAGAACAATCCACATTGTACCTGCAATCTCCACTCCAAAGTCAGCATGGAGAAGCATGTCACAAAGGGCAGCAATCCTGTGACAGGCCAGGGTCAGGCCAGGGTCGGGGGGGGGGGGGGGGGGGGGGCAGACACATCCAGATTACCTCAACATAACGCCGTCATTTCCACATTTCCTCCTCCCATGCAGGTTGCTAATGACTCCGCTCAAAGAGTCTCCAAAACAAGGAAATGCTGTGCGTTTTGGCCCTGACCATTTCATGTTTGCATTCGGAGTAATTAGTATTGACTGAGTCTACCTGTGTATACGACATAAAAACAAAGCTGATAGGCCTCACAGAGCATTATCCTCCGTGCCATCACTCACCTTCATAAAACTGTGATTTGAGAGTCTCACTCAGAGCCTATTGTTGTCCTCTCGTTCGAACACGAGGCGAGCTTTGAAGGGAAAACAAACTGTTTGCCTTGGCTTGCTCTTTTACCTTTGGTGATTGTCTGTTTGCTTGAGTTTTTTTTGTTGATGCTCAGAACACCTGACCAGGCATTGACCTCAGGTTGCCAAGCCAGAGGGGTCAGCGATAAGGTTATAGAAGGGAAGGCTCGGTGCATTGCGAAACATACTCTGCCCCCCCCCCTGAAAAAACCCCTCAGCTGGCTGCTTACAAGGTGTCCTGCTGGTATCCTGCCGACAGCATCAGCTGTTTTTCAGTGTCAGCCCCTGGCCTGACAATAATATCCCAGCAGGGCGTCTCATTGCGTTGCTAGGGCACGGCCTGTATTATGCATGCTTAATGGACAATTAAAATCCTTTGCTACTACATCTCCCAGGCCTTTGATAAGGGGCTCCTCTGACTTCAACTCTCTATACTCTCCCTCAGCAGGCGGTCCCATTGTCTGTGGTGTATTAGAAGACTGCAGTGACTGTAACCTAGGTTCATTTATCTCTGCTGGGCCTTGAGGAGGACTGATTTTAAAGTCTCCCCCCTCATCTTTATGGGCATTGGTATAGTTGCTGAGGCTGGGTGCAGACTTGGAGCAGCAGGAGCTGTCCACTGAGGAATGGGCTCTTTTCTGGCCAGACAGGACTGATGACCCCTTCTGCGCCTACAGAGAAAGCTATAGTCCCCCCCTCCCTAAACCGCCGCTGCACCTTCAGTCACACAAGAGAGGTCACTGCTGGGTCAGATCAAAGAAACTCCTCGTACTTTGGGAGTTTTTATTGATTCTGTTTCAGCTCGTTGATCAGTCGGTCACAACTGAATGGACAGTCAAACACTGTGATGTGCAGTTTTGGCGGTGGCTTTTTTACCTTCAGAAATGAAACTGATTTCAGGCAAGATTACATTTTGTTGGCAGTTCTATGAGCGCACGCACCTGTGTTTTCTTATTTAATATTTACCTACTGTTCATCCACTTATATTGTTTACTGAGATCACGTAATCAATCTAATTTATGACATTTGACTTCAAAGCGTTAATTCCCCAAACAAGTTAGTTAACAGTTGGCCAATTTATTAGTTTGATTTTCTTATTTAAGTCGTTTTTAAAGAAACTGTTGTTTGCAGTGGTGGTAGTACATTGCGGTAGGGGGTAACTTACCAAACGATCTCCATTGTATGTTAACTTATAGTTTTACTCCTATATATTTTGGAGGGACATTATTGACATTTTACTTCCCTTTAATTTATTTAAAATCATCTAAATATTTATTTTCCTTTTTTCAGAAAATGAGATGATAATTACAAAAATGACAATGCATGTAAAGGATTTGTTCCTAATGATTTAGCTTTACAAAAAGCAGGTTTTGGTTGGGGCCATGTTCCCCAAAGAGCCATTTCACCTCTAAAAGTCTTTACAATCAAACCCCAAAGTGATACAACTCAAATACCTTACAAAAAGCACAGATTATAAAAAATACAACATGTTTTCCTGTTCCTGCCTCATTAATCATCTCACAACTCCTCAGATATATTTTGTGACCATTTGAAGGGGACTAACCCCTTTGGAAACCTCTGCACTAAACTTCTCACTGTATATAAAGTATAGACAATACTAGGTACAGCAGTCAGATGCTGCCTATTGGAACATTAGTAAGAATCGCATAATGTCAAATATTATTTTTTCTGCTTGACAAGTTTAACTTTTATAATACTTAGGTCCATGTGCATATGGATGCAGGATTTTAACTTACTTTAGATGATTACTTGGCAGCTAGAGTCACCATTACACTGAATCATCGTTCTGCATGTTAAAAAACAAGCAGACTCAGAAGTTCCTGATCAGACACAGTACGGGGGGTCTTATCCGTAGGTTGCATTGCTTTCCGTCACCTCAGGCCGGTTTGAAACATCACACACACACACAGACACACACACAGACACACACACAGGAAAAAGGATGGCCTAGCTCTGCACTTTCCACTGCTCTGTTCTCCCAGAGAGCCACAAAGAAGAGCCTGGATACGTCCTGCAGAGACCCAGGAGGTCTGTCATATGCAGCAGTACTACAATGAGCACTGCCTGGGGTTGGGGAGGCAGGCTTTGATATTACATGGGTCACACAGGGAGCTAGAGCCTTTTAAACCTGCTGAAGATCCGTGCTACCACTCCCCTTCGGAAGTTCTCGCCCTCCCCCTGCTCTCAAAAAAGACCCTTCAGTTTTTCATGGATTGTCACATCTTGCCAGAGCAGTTCTTTAGCTTTTGCAGAATCTATAAGTTACATTTTATTTGGTGGTTAGTCACTTAATCTGTGTTTGAAGAAAACCTTTATTTTACATTAGCTTTCTAGTAACCTGAGTCTCTTAGTGAAGATCGTGGAAGTCCTTCTACTTACGATGAGACTCCCTGCAGCTAGAATTACTGCTGAACCCAAAGAAACAAAACTGTCCTGAATAGCATCCTTTTCTCCCTCTGACACTTTAAGAGGTCGCCCAGCTCAGAGATAACTGCCTTTTTATGAGTCCTCCTCTATTGTGTGGCAATGGGGGTCATGAGTCCAATGGAGTGCTTTATTGTTCTGCGGCGGTGTTTACAAGGCACGGTGGAGTGTAGTGGGGTTGCTAGTATGTTGCAGAAGACAATATGAAGTCTGTGGGCTGAACAAAATGGAGGGCAGTTATAGGATGAAATATGGGTCTTTGGCTTCAGACGGCGCGTTATCTGTTTTTTAAGTGTCTGTAGTTAAAAGAATAGTACCAGGGAAGCTGTTTCCTCCCATTTCCAGTCTTTACGCTAAGCTAAGCTAGCCAGCTATTGGTTGTAACTGTTTTATTAAGGGCATAGGAGCAACTGTGATATCACTGTTTGCAGCATGTATTTCCCAGTTCTCAAACTATTGATTTGAATATAGAGCATCTGATTATCCGTACACATCCAACTTCTTAAAGAATTGCGCCATTTTTACGATGAAAAATGATTTGTTTTCCTCACACGGAGCAAACACATCCTGTTCCAGTTTCGAGTCCCGACAAGAAATCAATGCCCCCATCATTGGTCACATTTAGTGTCAGCGCCTCTCCCTCCGTTTTATCTCAGAATGGCTGTATATCAATGCCTCCTGTCATGTCTGAGCGACCCCGACAGGGCGTTCAGGCTGTCACACCTGGGTCAGGGACGGAGGGCTCGGGCAAGATGGGAGATCTGAGTGCAAACAGAGTCTGTCTCTACACTGTCACTGAGGGAGGGACGCTTTCTGTGTCTGTGTGAGGCTGAGACCACAGGATAAGAATGTGTTTGACATTGCTCGTAATTGTGTAATGTTTACTCTGTTGGTATCAGAGGGGGCCTGCATCGGCAAACAGGAATTTGATTGTCGGTTGTGGTGGGGTGAAGCATTTCTTTGGGCCTCCAGTGAGAGAAATCAAGAGGTCTAGACATGAGATTTTGTGATAGCCCTTAAAAGAAGAATTACATACATCACTGTGAACATATATAAGGTGTACTGAACTTCTGTACTTAAGTAACATTTTTAGGACTTTATTGATGACAATTTTTTCTCTTTTTGAACTGACAGGTTTAGTTTTGAGTTACTTTCACATCTTTCCATAGATTTAACACATTTGAAATTCTCTGATTGTTTCATTTAGTCTTAAGATGGTAAAACCAAGGTTTGAGAAATGTACTAAGGGGAACCACATTTTTTTCTTCTGTTCAACTAAATTAATCACCATAGTGAAAATGTGCTCACACATTGATCCATTAGTATTTAACATCTGACAGTGTAACACACAATAATATAAAAAATAACTCTAACCTCTACTTCTACATTTGCTTGATGATACTAGTGAAACTTCACACTGACGTAATTACGAACACCATCAGTAGCATGTGTGTGCTGATGAGAGAGACTGTTGTGAGTGAGGGAACGCAGTGAATGGCCTTGGCTGAGCTACACAGATAGCAGCAGACAGGTCGCTGTGTTTGTTTGCTCTGTCCTCCCCTGTCTGAGTTAAAGAGCAGGTTGATTGGAGTGACAGTGGAGTTTCTAGGCACAGAATGAGGCTACTATCTCTCTGCCTACATCAGTAATATAGCTGTAGGACCAAGCAGCTGTTATAGTTGTAGGACAGGACAAGTGAAACTAACTGTGTGTCTCTCTCTCAGTGCGTTACAGCCAAGGCCCCGGTGAGGTCACCTCCTCCACGACCATCAGTCACCACAGCAGCAACGGGATGGCCACCAGCCAATCGGTGCTCCAGCAGGTGTCTCCGGGAGGACTTGACCACAGCCACAGTCTGCTGTCACCTGACGCCAAGATGGTGAGTGAACACACCTGGGCCCTCATGGCCTCAGATTAGATAAGACCCAGCCTGCGTTTAGCATAAACGTACAAAGCAAGTTCCTGGACCTCCTCTCTCATGGACCCACGGGCAAAAGCCAACAATTAACACATTGTGCTGCTCTGTTTGGAAGGTAGACTATAGGGCACAGCCTTCACCACAGTGTACCAGGCATGTTCATCACTCAGCCAATAAACCTGACAAAGAAACATTCTGTTCTCATTGATTAAATGCCTCGCAGAGAGGAGCCTCAGGTGGATTGCTGCTTGTTCTACCAGAGAAATGACGCCAACATTTGATTGTGCCCAATGTTTCTTTTTGTGTCAACTTCAGAGTTTCTCCCTTCTGCCCTAGTCCAATATTTGATCAGTGACAAGGAAACCTGCGCAGTGACCCTTAGCAGTTGAGAAGTGGTGCAACAATACTTTTTATGTATTATGTGTGATTTGCTGTCAAAGTTTAGTTTCACTTTATTTTATTTGAGAAGGGACAGGGTAAATAAGTGAGTAAACAACAATGTCAGAATTAGCCACAAGGCTATTCATCATCTGTTGACCCTTTGTAAGGTGTCATACAAGCCTTCCTGAAATACATCTAAACAAAAACAGGGTATTAGGTTTAAAGATTTGAAAAGGACACATTAAAGCAATAAAGACATACAAATATATTATTTGGAGCAAAGTTCTGTCTCCATTTAACACAAAATCAAACTGACTGAACTACTTATCTTGTTCAGGGTCAACTGTAATATTCAAATGTGCACTGACTTCCCTGCCAGACCCAAATACTTCTGCCTTTTGGAGCGTCATTGTGTGAAATTACCACAGCCAGGGCAGGCAGTGTATTGTGCAGCAGGTCAGAGCGGGCAGTTTCTTATCTGCAGATGTGTGTTTGGCCGGCCTGTCCACTGTGGGCAGCTGGCAGTAGTCAAATAGTCTCAGCCCCACCGAGTGGGAGGATCTCAATCCAGATATCCATTACTAAATGCATTAATGTTTTTTTGTGCAAATATTTACTTAGGTATTTGTATGAAGCGATACAAAGTTACTTTATGCTACACAAACTCATTCACAATCCTAATTTCTAGTCTGCTTTTTTCTTCACATTTGTTCCTTATCAGTATTTGCCTGTGTGCTGTGTATGAGTGGAGTGACACAAGTGCAGTGTTATACAAAATAATCTGAACTGAGTCAACATTTATGTCTGTTGTTAGTTTATTACCCAACATCTGTTTCACTTTGAAAATGCATTTATGTGAACCTAAATAGCAGACACTCAACGTGTTGCATGTAAGAAATATCAGAAAGCTAAATCAGTACTGTAATTGTATCTTTCTTTCTTTTATCTTTCCTCAGATTTCAGGTTCAGGTGGAGGACTTCCTCCAGTCAGCACACTGACCAACATCCACAGTTCCCATCACAGCCACCACCAGAACCTCATCATGCCTCTATCTGGAGTCATGGCCATAGCACAGAGTAAGTCCTCCAACCCTTTAGAAAAGAGAGAAACACATTTAATTTACTCCACCATGGACATGTTTTAACTGAGGTTTTGCTGTGTCTCTCTAGGTTTGAACACATCACAGTCTCAGTCGGTGCCAGTGATCAACAGCGTGGCGGGAAGCCTGGCAGCGCTGCAGCCGGTGCAGTTTTCCCAGCAGCTCCACAGCCCCCACCAGCAGAGCCTGATGCAGCATTCCCCCAGCCACATGAGCCAGCAGCCGTTCATGTCTGTCACTCACTCACACAGTAAGTTACACATATGTAAAAGAGCCTCTAGGATGCTTTGTATGTCAGTTAAACTAGTGGTTCCCAACCTTTGTTGTTTGTGTTGCTGTAACAGATATGTGTCTGCAGTTCAAAGAAGTAATGTACCTTTTTCAAGTTGTTTCCTGCAAATCATTTTTAAGGTCTGAAAGGGTAAACAATAAAAATAAGTAATTGGAGAAAAGGAAAATCATTGTCTAGAAATTACCCCTAAGAAGCATTTTAGGAAACTTGAACTGAACTGAAGCAGTGGATATTTTAGAAATAAAGCCTTAAAAAACGCTCTCCACTCTTTTATGATCTTTTAAGTTTGGTTTACTTTTTTTTTTAATGCAATTAGAGCGTAAAACAGTCATCTTTTGCTGCTTTCCTATCTGTATTACAATACTAAAAGTAGAAAGATTTGAAAGCTTTCCTCACAAATTACTAGATTTTAGACCAGATCTTCTTTAATAGTGACTTTGCTTCCTTTTGATCATCATAAACATTCAATGTTTTTTAAGACCCTACAACATACTGTTTTTGTGTTGTAAAGTGGAAATATAATTGAATCTATCTGACTTTCCTCTGCAGTGTATTCTCACAAGCAAGAGCCCCCACAATATTCCCACCCGTCACGTTTCCCCTCGGCCATGGTGGTCACAGACGGCAACAGCCTCAGCGCCCTCAGCTCCATGTCAGGCAAAACGGTGAGTCCTTCACATCATATCTCATCTCAGGGGCCACAGCTGCATGTACTTACCTCTCTCTGTCTGCCGTTGCGGTTTTAAAAGTAAAAAAGTAAAAAGTCTGTGATCACTATTGGGGTATTTGCATGATAATCAGCAGTACATTGAAATGTTATCGCCGTTACTGTTAAAATTATTACATTTTTTGGGAGTTCTAACGTTTGATCAAATCTCTTAAAAATAGTGCTGTTACTTTTTGACTAGCACACTCATTTCCTGTTTATACACATACATCGCCCTTACTTTGTTCTGATTAAGAGAAACAACACATTCAAAGCACACACTAACAGCAACAGGAACTACATCATGACAGGGAGAAGTGTTTGTGTGTTATGATCGTGTGTTGACTTTGTTTAATTCCTGTCACATTAGGATGGTGCTGTAAACAAGATGGTGCAACTCGGGGGTCTTTCCTGGGTAAATACAATTTTAAATCAACATAATTGCACACATATCCTTTATGTAGGTGTGCAGACTGCTCCTTTTAATGTTTATAATTTCTGTGTGGAGCTGCTGCTGATATTTAAATGTTTTCACTTGGATTCAAACCAAGAGACAAGACAGATATATGAATAGTATACTCCCCAGAATTCCTATTTCCTCTTAAATAGACATCTAATCAATCACCTGCTCCATCAGCCTGAACGCCTCTTGATTAATGCTGCCTCCTTTCACTTTCCTCTCCCTGGTGAGAGTACCTCTGCGATTAGGAAATGAGCCCCGCTTTTAATCAGGGTTCTCAAGCCTTGTGTGCTGCTACTTTGCTCCATGCTACAGTGAGGCTGGAGATGAGATGGGCTGAGTGGGGGTAGAGTTTTTTTTTGGGTAATTACACCTCTTCCTCTTTCCTACTTCTCACTGCTCTCAGTGATCGCTCTAGCCTGAAATGTTGTCCACGGTGCTTTCACACGCTCAATTTCCCACGCTGAGTCAGAGCACTCGTAACACAGCGCTGCTACTGACAGACAGATGGGTTGAAGGGATGATAGCTCAGAGTGCAGTATATCCTCAGTGGGGGGGCGAGGTGTAACAGACCTCCATGAGGAGGCAATAATATATAGGAACCTTTTGGTCAGTGTGTAGCTTGTTTTAATTTGTAAAACAAATGAAAAAAAAGGACTATATCAAATAACTTGAATATTGAATATTCACGTGTTTTCTCTTTAGTTCGATATTTTAGATAAGATAAATACTGATATCAGTATGTTTACAACTATATATAACTAGAGGCTTTATTTGTTTTACAAGACGCACACTTTTTTATATGACTGTATAAAGTATACATTTAGACTGTTTTCATATATTTCATGGACACATTTTGGATTTGTGTCCAATAATCGATACAGCACCAATGCATTTTATTCCAAGTAATTTCATGATACATCTGTCAGTAAAAAAACTCCTTATGAAACATAGTGAATTAAAAAGTACTAAGAGCAAAAACACTAGAACCTTAAAATAACAGTTCTTGATACTTAATTCGTATTTTCCCCTACGGGCATCATACACCTGAGACATTTGACCAACCCATTTATTTAGGGGGTAATTAGCTAGCAGGCTCTCCCAGGTATTTTCTTATCAGGGCTTTATTTGGACGGGGCAGCCTTTTTTTCTCATGACACAACCAGCCCTGCTCCGGCTTTATAACTCATTGTTTACCGAGAACCCTTCATTATACCTGAGTCTGTTTCAAACTCACCTCTGCTCAAAGCCTGGCGTCTAGCTGGGGGTCAGCTTTATCAGGTGGAGCTGTTTGCTGGCCGCAGGGTCACACCAGGGTCACCTACCTCCAACCCTGAAGAGCCAGGGGGAAAATAAATTCCACAAACAATCTAAAAAAAAAGGAGAGCATTGAAATGGAAACAAGGCTTTTGAGAGTCAGGAGAAGAGGGATGAGGAATGTATTTGGTCAGGTGTGGCACACACATGAAGGTGCAGGGGTGTTGTATTTACCTGTGGTGGAAGACGTATTTAATTAAAGGACTAATGTAAAAGTACCACACTATAAAATACTCCATTAAGAATAAAAATACTGCATAGATAAAAGTGTAATTATTGAACCATTTAAGCAGCATTTTGTCAAGATGGAGCTAATTTGACTAGTTCTTTAACCATTGTGAATATGTTTATTTTTTTAAATAATTGTTAAAGTAGCATAAAATGGATAATCTCAAGTTACTCAAAGCTGTATGTAGTTACTTTCCACCACTGGTATTTACATGTAAATGTGTCACCTCCAGGAAGCCTTGTTGCCCATCACATAACCTGTGGTACTGGACAGATTGTTTTTATTGTTTTATGTAACGCAGGACTACTTTGTCTCACATTTTTCTCCTTCTCCTTTCAGTGTCCTCTTCAAGCTTGGTGAGAGCGTCCACCTGACTTCCCCGGTGCCCGGCAACGGAGGCACATTTTTCCACCCTCTCACCGCAGTAACCATGACAACTCTTAATAACCGGCAACGGCGCGCTGGATGATGAGTCAGTCAACAAAACCAAAGAAGAGGCAGCGGGCCAGACGGTGAAAATGAGAAATGGGGACAGAGGGGGAGAAAAACAAAAAAACTCACCTGAAAAGTGAAGAGACTTGCTTCACCTCCGTCGCACACAAATGATAAACAGGATGATTTTAAACACAATCTTTGAAAACAGTATTCAGTTTTTCTTATGCCCCCGATCACCCTCTTTTCTGACATTGCAAAGGAACAAAATTCAAGCACCCAAAAAGCACTCAAAAACTGTTTATGTGGTGCAGACTTAAACGAAGGCTCTGGGACAACTTAAATTACACTGTGATTTAAGGTGGAAATATCGAGGCACCCTGAAACTAACAGAGACAGTGATCAGCCTCTGTGAAGGCTGAAAGACTCAAGTTCCTGGAGGCCTTCACAAACAGCCCTGCACGTGAGCAGATTTGTGTGACAATCACAATAACCCTGTATTGATTTTTTTATGCATGCATTAGACATTTTTACTGGTCTTTAAAAGGAGTCTTCCATATGTTTTCCTCTACACTCAGTTAGTGCAGGCGATGAATACAGAGGGATTCATAATTTCAAGTTGTTCAAGTTGTTTATACTGTGATTGAAAAGACTGACAATCTTGAAAGGACTATGCAATGTGTCAATCGGTGTAAGAAATGCTTTGTATAACTGGATTCTGCACAGAACTCGACACACTTGAGACTGGAAATGAATATGCACTATCAGTGAAGTCACCAACAATTGCATATATACATTATATAATTATATATATATAGGCCTACTGGAGTTGCTGTTGATAAAGCTGCCTGTAAACTAACACAAGAGCAGATGGATGAATGTGTGCGTGTGTGTGTGTGTGTGTGTGTGTGTGTGTGTGTGTGTGTGTGTGTGTGTGTGTGTGTGTGTGTGTGTGTGTGTGTGTGTGTGTGTGTGTGTGTGTGTGTGTGTGTGTGTGTGTGTGTGTGTGTGTGTGTGTGTGTGTGACAAATATGCCAAAGAATAAGAGTCAACTTCAATGTACGCAGGGAGGACTGACTCACACACTTCAACTGTGGCCCTTCCCCTCCGTGTTGTTTGCACACAGGTTCAGGTGAATTTCAGGAATGGGACTCTCCCTCCTCCTCTTTCTCCTTCTCCCACTTCCTGCCTTAATGTGAAGAGATACCAAATAGGACAAACATTGTTAATAACTCCTTATCATAAATCATGCCGGCAGGAACCCCCCAGAGTCATGATGAAAATATTGACAAGTATTCAGAAACAAAACAAGTTGTGTACGTCTGGTATTTTGTGAAGGAGAGGGACATGAAAGCGGGCAGTGTTGTGACAGCAGCTGCTCTAATCATCCAGGAATCCACAGAGGCTGAGAAATGTTGGGGAGAGGAGCAGCTGCTGTGGGTACAGACGCCCACGCTCACACTACCAAGGTGTGTTCGGGCAGAAGCAAACTTTATTTGCCACAAATTTGGCCGTTGGAGCCTGTGTTTGTTCGCCCCCAACTATTAGTACTGTTAGGCAAACTCCCTTCTCTCCATTGACTTTGTATGCAAAGTTTGTCCCAACACACAGTTTCAGTTTCGGTTTGCTTGACAACGATGGGAAAGGTTGACATGGGGACCAAATTATGCATCAGGAATTATTTTAATTACACACTTTTCCAACCCTGCAAATCATTAGTGGGTCAGATCCAGTCTCCTGTTCAATATTAGGTCATTACATTTGTTATTATTATGTTGGTTGGTTGTGTGACTGTTATTATAGGCACACCTACTGCCATCTGATCAGAGGGCACTCATACTTGTGCAGGATGTGATTTTTTTTCTCCTAATGTATTATTTTTGTATAAAATGGAATCAATCATAAATCATTATTTATACTTTCTGAGAAAATGTTGATATTTCAAGTAAAAGTTGTTTTTTTCAAAATGAATACATGGCTTTGGTTATTGTGTGTGTGCAAGGCATACGATTGAAAGATAGATTGAACTATTTGATATAAATGTGGGAGGTGTTATAATACATACAAGTATTGATCCTGTTTTCTAATATTATTATAGATATAATATACATATATTCATCAATAACTGAACTAAGTCTGGGCCAATGATTTGTATCCAATAGCTGTTGGAAATATAAGATAACATAAAATGTAAGTGTACCTCAAATGTGTACTTCAGTGCAGTAGGATACTTGAGTTATTTTCCGCCTCTTCAAAGCTGTTTATAGCCTCTACAAAGATGTTGTGGTGTTGCGCGTGATAAGACAAACAGCCTCTTTGAAGTTCATAGATCTAAAGTGCATCTTACATTTCAAGCAAGGTCATTGAACCTGACTTGTTGATAGCATAATTAATTTCAGCATTGATCTGGTACACAGAGCCTTGTGTAAAAAAACTCATGTATAGCTTTTAATATGGTTATTGTAATGAAAAGAAACACAGCTTCATCTTGAAAGGGTTTTAAGTCAGCTCAATGTCCCATGGCTCTAGGGTTACATTGCATATTGCACATGCTGATCAGTTGTTCAGGAGGTGTCTTTGCAAGTTTGCAGTAATATAATGACTTATAACATCTGTTGATATCTAAATCTATATACTGTATGAGGATGAGAGGATTTCTACATTTCTATAAGGAATTGCAAAAAGGTTCATACTTACCTTGTACAGTATGATCTTAATTATTAATATAAATTCTTATCTACCTAAATTCATGTGACAAAAACAAAACAGAAAAACACCTAGAAATTTGACATGATGTAACTGCCCTATTTTGCCCACAGAAAATAACATGCAATTAAAGTGGTATGGATATGGTTGAAGATGAAAGTGTGCATCATGTAAAAAAAAAGAAAAAGAAGGGTCAACACTTTCAAACATAAAACTTACAAAAAGAACAGTATAGTGATTTCCCTTGAGAATGCCTTAACTCTGCTTTCCTATCCCTGTGTTGACCTGCAGCCTACACAGTGGAGCCCTGCTGTTTGCAGCCTTGTAATCCACTGATGTTGCTCTATTTGGTTTTCAATGAGGCCTTTGATTTCCAGACCCAGGAAGCCTCTAAAGATCTGACAGTGTCTCTTTTGCTCTTTTCTGTAAAAGAAACTGAAACACTGGAGGGCTCATTAGCATCTGTTAGAACTTGAAATACAACACTGAACTCATGACATTTAATTCAGAATTAGGGTTTGAATACAGGCTTGATTCATTAGCAGGTTCTTGAACAAATGTGCTAAATACTTTTGTATAAACAGTTTATACGTGAAAACCAATGAGTGATAATGGTAGAAGGTTTAATGTGTTGTCTGCTTTGTCTCCATGGGGATGTATTGTCAGTCTTGTCATTTGAGGAAAGAGCTTGTGCTTAAGCAGGAAGCACTTTAGGTCAGTTTGAACTTATTTGTATTTTTAGGTAGATTCATTTTATTCTTATCTTACAGCTAACTTTGTATGAAATGTTGAAAGAATACCAGCACACTTTTTAACAAACGTCAGCATGCTATTTGGCAAGCCCCCGCAGACTATTTCTTTCTGGGAAAAGTAATCTTTTAAAAAGGTTAAATTACTCTTTATTGCTCCATGTCTCACAGCAGGGGGCACCATTACTCATTTAGGAATTCCTGCTTAAAGCAATAATGCTTAACAAGAGAAAGATTCTCCTAATCCAAGTTTGGTATGATTGTTTTAACAAAACGTATAGGTAAATTCAACTAAGAACTAAACTAAAGGTTAAAACAGTATAATGACAAAGCAAATCATAAACAAATCATGTTTGGTCTCCTTTCTCTTTATCCAGTCTTGAGCCAGGTGTCAACACTCAATAGGTTTTATGACAATGACATGCGCCGTTGAGAGGAGCACAAGGAATAAATTAAGTATCCACTGCACTGTCATCTTCAAGGAAGTCTTCATGGGACTTTTCATTTATTTTCTAAGATAGCCGTGAGCTCCTGAGTGGCTGTGGTGCAGCGCTGTCTGTCTGATTAAAGCAGAACACTTCCAGGGAACAGAGGATCATTGACTCTCCCTTCACCTCCTGTGAGAGGCTTGGCATGTCTCCCAGGCAGCGGAGCATAAAACAGGGAAGGTCATGACTGATCCCGCCTCAACTTTGGCCTGACGAAGTTCATCTGGGTAAATGTTGTCAGTCAATCCATTACATTTTTAAGAAAATCTTAAACCCATAATTCAAACCATTTAATCACTTTCTTTAATGTATTGAGTTACTGAACTCTGAACATGCTTTGAGTCTGCCCACATTTGCACTCAGGCCAAGTTTAGCCTCTCAATCACCGCTAACACTCTGAGAGACATACTGTGAAACATACTGCAATAAAACCATAAATACAGCTACTGTTATCACTGATAGCAGGTATCAATACAACTCCAAAAGTTTCCTAATGACGCTTACATTGTCCGCTGCATATGCTCCTTCATATGGCGCAACAAGAATCATTTAAAGCCCAAAATCAGCAAGGCCATTGAGCTTTGTAGACTGTGCTCACAACACTGAAGCCCTATCTAGGGAAGGACACACAAACTGTTTTACCCTAAGGAGACTTAGATCAATTAGTGACCTTCTCTCAGCCGTTAGTAACCAAGGTTTCTATCTTCACAACAGTGTGCTGGGCTGGCACACTGTTGTCCAGCTCAGTGATCAGGAACTGAACAGTCTGCACTCAGTTTCAGAGAAGGGGCAATTTCAGTAGATGGCACCCTATACTATATTTTATAACCATAGCTCCAAACAATTGCAAATGCTAGCCAGATATAAAATCTATATGTTCCCCCCAACAGTGTCTTAGAAAGATATAAGCAAAAAGCTGGGAACAGTCTGTAAAAGAACAGCAGGTACACTACCTGAAAGCAATCACTAAAATACAAAAAGAAAAGGAAACCATGCGCACTAAATAGAGATACAATGTAGGAGAAGCTCTTTTAGAGAGTGTATCTCTGCTGCAGGGTGGTGAAGATGGAGATAACAGATTCATCTCGAGGACTCAAGAGGTCAACCCAAGGAGCGAGCTGCCACCCGGGGAACAGAGGCGAGGGGCAAAGAGACAGAAAGTGGAAG